TGTTTTGATTGAGTTTCTATGTTTTTATATCTTATATGTAACACTCGATGATATGTTATAATCATCTTCTGTCTGAGTATTTATGTTTGTAAATTGTGTATTTTAGTATTGTAATCGGAAAAATCTAATAAATTATTTATATACAAAAAAAAAAGCCTGAAGGTAATGATTCTACTCACCAGAACAAATCCAATAAGCTGTGGTTGTTCTGATGACTGTAGTGTCCCTTTAACAATAACATAAAGAATTAAGTTTAATTTTAAGTTGATAATGTTTTCTACCATTACAAGAAAAAAACAAGTTCATAACTTTTGGATAGTGACCACAATAAAAACATTCACATAGTACTGACCAAAGTTGAGAAACCATTATCAACTGAAAACAGATGCTAAATTGTGATTGTCAACTCTAAATGACACACCTCATTTACCTGTTACTTATACTTCCTAGCCACACCTTGTATGCCTGTGACTTACACTTTCTAAACCCACCTCCTATGCCAGTTACTTACATGGCCTCCCTAAACACTTGCAGTAAATAGAAATCAAATTTTTAAACTTCCATTACTGCACAGTGTGTTTAATTTAGAATGTCTTATCCCCTGCTCTCTGGTCACATTAACAGAGCAGAAGATAAGAATTTCTAAAGTAAACACTCTGTTCTAGAAGATGTGATTGAAAAGGAAACATTTTTTTTTTTTTGCAGGCTGTGTGAGTCACAGCCGGGGGGCCTTTGCTGGAGCTGCATAAACAGAAACAACCACCCAAAAAATAAATAAATATCACTATTTAGTACAGTGGTAGTCAACCTTTTTCTTCTTACCGCCCACTAATGCATCTTTGTACGTACATTTATCTTTTTATTTCTACTTAATGCATGTTTATAATATTTTTAACTTTATAAAGTTTAATGAGAAAACAATAAAGTAAATTGAAATTACCTTTACTAGTAATTAATGAGATCCTTGAGGTTGATGCCTGCGAGACTAAATATTTGATATCTGGTTCGATTTTCGTAAGGAACAAGGTCTCCTCTTTCGGTGATATTCAGATGACTTCTCTGTTTGCGCATAATATGATTTCTGATCTGTGCGTCAGCTCCCCTCCTCTTCCTCCTCAATTTCCCTCCCCACCTTTTTTTTCTCCCTTTTTTCTATTTTTTAACCTTACTATAGCAATGCCCAGTAGGAAGGCTGATCTAGGTAGCCCACTTACTATAGCCCACTATAATAGACAGGCACACATACAAGACACACATACAGACACACACAAGACACACATACAAAGACACATACATACAAACAGACAGGCACACACATACATACAGACACACAGACAGGCACACACATACACGACACATATATACAAACAGACAGGCACACATACACACACACACAACACATACATACAAACATACACACAGACACACACATAAGACATACATACAAAGACACACACACACATACACACAGACACAAGACACACATACATACAGACACATACATAAGACACACATACATACAAAGACACCTACACACACAACACATACATACAAGGACAAGACACACACAACACATACATACAAAGACAAAACACATATACACACACAAGACATACATACAAAGACACATACCTAAGACACACATACATACAAAGACACGTACACACATACAGACACACACAAGACATACATACAAAGACACACACACAAACAAACACACACATTATATTTAAGTCACCCTCCTGTTTCCTACCTTTAAGGTACAGGAGGGTGACTTTCCCTGGGGTCCAGTGGTGGCTCAGGTGGATGGGAATCAGAGTTCCCACTCTGACTTCCTGGTCTTCCTCCTGCGTGGCTCTCAGTGTTAGCTGGGAGGAGTGACATGCAGTCACTTCCTCCCAGCTCTGTGCTGTTAAAGTGCCAAGCGCTGACTGGGCCCCCTCACAATCCACATCCCTCGGGTGGCCCTGACAGCATGGGCCACCCGATGGACCGGTTTGCCGCCTGGGACAGGGCCACAAATGGTGATGGCGGTACCCGGTCGCAGGGGTACCGCCGGCTCGCACACACCCGCCCACCCAATCTCTCCAAATGAGGAATTCCCTACCGTCCACCTGGAATCCTGAAACGCCCACTAGTGGGCGGTAGGGACTAGGTTGACGACCCATGATTTAGTAAATACACTCAGACTGAAACTTGCATACATTGAATTATGCATTTGTCATTGGGAGTATATCGAAAGCTTGACAAAAGCTGCAGGTCTCTTATCTGAAGCCTTTGCAAGCAGGTTCCCTTTCCCACTTTCTGTGGCTGTCAGCTCAATAAGATAAACATCAGTGGCAAGGCACTGAGCTAAACTACTATGAAGTAAGAGGACTGTAACATTAACAAAAAAAAGAGGACAAATTTTTCACATATAGAGCACTATATAGTTTATAGTATATATGTCTATAGTGTCCCTCATAAATGGCAGAGAATTGAGCAATGAAACTGTATGGGCATCATCTGTACACTCAAACTGGCTCATTACCCTACAGTTGTTTTGGTGCCTAAAGTATCATTTTAAATTGGTAGTAAATATATTTAATCACTCAGAGTATTTGTTTCTAGTTTGCCCTGTAAGCCCTTTATGATTTAACCTGATGTTTTTCAGTGGCATAGACAAGAACATTTCGGCGTTATTTTTCTTAAGACAAGCACTAGGTCCTTCATCTAGGTTATGTAATATATAGTGCAACCAAATACAAATAAATGGAAAAGCTAAGCAAAGAAAATGCGAACATGTACTCTGTTGAGTGACTACAATTTAAAATATAAAAAACAAATACTTGTGAGTAGTTTGAATATGATGATTCAGTGTTAATGCATTTCGGGTAAAACATTGTGAATGTTTTTTTTTATTATTGGATATATGTTATTGATTTTTAAATTGCCTCTTTTGTTGAACACGCACTTTTTTATAAATAAATTATTTACAACTGTTATGGCAAATGATAACGAATAAAAAATTCATGGGAAAGACTGTGACAGAAATTATATTTTTATTTTGTCACCTTCTATGCTGAATACATTTAGCTTCTTTGCTGTATGATTGGAGATAGTTTTCTTAGTAATGTGAATGTTACATTTTCGAGTTAACACAGTATATCCAATCCATGATAATTATTAAATGCTATTACATGTTGGTGCCCAAAGCTTGCTATTTATTGCAGTACAGGGAACATTTTTGCTTAATCCTTTGTACTATATATTTCCAAAAAGAAACAAAATTTGAAGATATAGAATAGTTCTGTTATAAAGGAACCCTAATAATGTTTTTTGGAAGAAGTCAACGATAGTATTGCAATTTGGTTTGTTGTACATGAAGCAATTGATGCTTTAATAGTCCTCACAATGCTATGAATTAATTGGGTACAACAGCAGTAAGTTCATCAGTGACATAGGTAAGTATTATCAGCATGCTCATTTGGTAGAGAAAAATGGGCACTGATTCATGACATTTCTCCCAAATTAGTTTTTCAGTTTTTAAATATCAGTGTCTGTTTGATGTCATAGCCATCAAATCCAATGCAGGCTTCCACTTTTAAATCATGTTATCATTCGAAATCTTTATTTAAGTACATATCAGTTTAAAATAGCGATAGAAAGACAAGTAACAGAGTCTTAAAGGGACACTCCACTAACCAAATATAAAATATTTCTCTTGTCTGCAAACTTTGCAAACCCTCACCTTCTAACCCCAACCAGACGACTTCACAATGTAACTCAATGAGAAGTCTTTGCAAGGCAGGCGCTCTGGGCAATTACTGCCTCTTGAGTTTAGCTACACTGAGCTAACCAAACCAGGAAGTAACAGGATGTATTGTCTACTTGAAAGCAAGGTGGATGTAACCAGGTTCATTTATAAACGGGTCAATTTCTATTGAAATCAGCAGGTTTTTGCAAATGGAAAAAAGGACACATTCTTCACACATAAAGCTTTTCAGCAAGCTAAAGTGATTTAGGGGTCTGGAGTGTCCATTTAATAATACATAGCTAAGCAATTTAAGTACAAGACTCTCGTTGGATTTCTGTAGCCAGTATAGGAGTCCAGCTCTCAAATGTGAAGGTCAAGAAGGTTGTAGGTGGTAGAGGAAAGTAGTGAAGGGAAAGACATGGAATAGCAATGCAAAGAGTAGGATGGAGCAAGGTGGCGGAGATAGTGACAGGAGAATTAACGGAGGGGTGTTTGTGACATATATTCTTGGTATTGTGTAAGATGGGTTGTCAGAGGAAAATTGCATCCAGGGTGACCAAGTAGCAATGTATTTCACAGTGGTTAGGTTAGTATAGGCAATTGCAGCTTCAAACAAATGGTTTCCTTTACACGTTGCACCAGTTGTGGGATGCAAGGGGCAGAGGTTTGACCCTGGAGGAATGGGACCAGGATGCCGCTATTAACGTGTGATATAGGACTAAATAAGGAGTAAACAAGACTTATAATGCTCTCGTTTGCCATGTAAGGCTTGTAATACTTGTAATGCTCTCTATTGCCATGTAATGCTCTATATTTGTCTGTACATCACTATCCAAAATGAAGAAATGGTGAGGCAAGACCAAAATATATGTAGCATGGTGCCGGGGTCTGAGTGACACCTCCAATATTGATCAGATTGATGAGGGAATATTGCATGCAGTGCCATTGTGGTCCGGAACTATCAGCTTAATATCTTGTAAAGGATCTCTTGAAAATGCGAGCAGATGGAGCTCTAGTGTGGTAAAATCATTATCTTATGCCATTGTTCCTCTGAGAGGGAGATGTCTAGGTCTCTCTCCTACTTCCCCACAAACCACAAATGCGGCAGTCGCTCATTCTGCAGCAGCTGTTGGATTGTGGGATTGATTGGACTGGTTGGATTGTGGTATTAATTGGTGTATGGGATTGATTGGACTGGAGCGGGAGTGCTGGGGGAGCAGGTGGGTGGATGCAACCAATAAGGTGTCGGGTCTGAGCTCCTCCTTTATGTCACCTGGGGGCTCCATCTACAAGGAGGTGGATCAGCTCTCCCTATGAATTCCCAAACATCGCACTTGGTTAGTTCTTGTTTATTCTGGTGCTTGTCACAGTCTCCTAGCCTCCTGGTTCCAGATTCTTGTTCCTTGTTAATGATCCTGGTTCTTGTTCCTGGGTCTTGATTCTGGTTCCTGATCGTGGTTCCTAATTCTTGTTCCTGGTTCCCGTTCCTGATTCTTGCTCCTAATTCCTGATCCTGCTTCCTGACTCTGGATCTTGTTCCATTGCTGCCAGCCCTAAACATTGGACCATCTGAAACTGCTTCTTGTCTGTTCCTTTCTGGCTTCATCGCTTCCTCTGTGAAAAAATGCACCCATGACCTCATATATCTCGCAGGTTCCTATATCACTCTCAGGTACCTGGGAATGTTGTGTCTGCAAGGGGTGGCCATTTCACTGCAACTGAGTTCCTCTCTAAGCAAACCAACCGGTAGGTTGTCAAATTAAGCAACAAAATCAGCCTGTAGCTAGAACATAAGGTTGGGTCCCTATCCCCCTCCTGCAGTACCTTGAGGCAGGTAGTGACTATTGCCCAAGTCTTCCATCCCAAGCACGGAGTTGAATGTCTCAGTCATCTGTGTTCCAGAATATCTTATAGTAACTGAGGGGGTAGCCATCCTGGCCTGGGACATTACCCATTTGAGAAGGTTTAGCATATTTGGCGGACAAGTAATGTATGCATATTTTTTGAGAAAGTTTAGCAGCAAACCACAATTCATCTTCCATAAGCAGTGTTCCAGCTCTTCCCTAATTTCTAATAATAAAGTTTTTGTCACAAATTCTTCCAGAAAGGCACATTTTTCAGGTGTCCCTTTGGAGTCTAGAAGGTTAGTGGCCATGGACCAAATGTTATACAATTACTTGTAATATGCATGAAATGCTGCACAAATGTCTGTGGGGAAGGGTGAGAGCCAAACCAATCTTATGAATCTGTGTTTGCATAAAGCGTTTTAAAGGAGAATAAGCAAGATCCTCCCACACTTGTTAGAATATTCGTACTATAATTTCTAAATTTTGAGGAGGATGTGGTGTGTATTCGCACATAGGAGATCCGATTGGGAATGCCATTCAGAAACCACGTCCCTATAGGTGACATCCAGTCCATGGCATTTATATTTAGCTTCCAGGTGGTCAATTGCCATGCACAGTTCATTCGCTCCCTGAGAGAGCTGTTTCTTTCTCCAAGAGCAGAATCTTATGAGGTTGCCCCATAAAGTATTTTCCATAAAAAAAGTGTGTCATTAAATTTTTAAATTTTTAAATATTTAATATATTTACAATAATACTTTCAGCTGAAGTGCTCTACTTTGTGATTGTGATATTATTGATCCAGTTTTTTTTTTAAATGGTTAAAAAAGGTCTAAAAGGAGGAGGAAGAAGGAGAAGGATGATAAATATGATCCCTGTGAATTATATTATTAAATGTTATCAAGTTATTTTAATACCCCAAATAGCATAAACACACTTGTGAATTCCTTGTCAATTTTTTGCCATGCCAATTTTATGGCCTGTTTCCATATTTGTTTCAATAATTTACACACAAGCCAGTAGCTACTAAAATGGCAAATTATTTTCATGGTGCAAAACATTTTCTGAATGGTAATTAGCAGTTGTCAACGTTTCCACATTTCCCCACTATGCACTAAGTAACTATTGGTTTTCAAGCTAAATGCCTCATCTCATTCTACATTTAAAAATATGTATTTATTCTATAACTAAGTAAATTTGAGTAATAAGGTCTCCCTTTAAGAATATTAGTTAAAGTTTTTAATAAATACCTTGGCAAGTCAGGTGTTTGAAAAACACTAAGGGAAACAACCTCAGATAATTACATGTGATGTGAGTTTGCACTGAACAAATCTGCTATAACATCCAGGTGATGTTCCTATAGCAATGAATTGGAAAATGTGCCCTTTATCTTGATATATACACAGTTTTCAAAAGTGTAAGCACTAAGTAGTGGTCGGTATCAGTGGAAGTGGACGTGGGCAACATGCACAAAGTGAATGTTGACCAAGTGTGTTGACCAAGAATACATATTTTTGGCTGTTAATTTTAACAATGCATAATGGCAGTTTTATAACAACAATCATGAAAAAGTTCTCTTAGTGAATAACCATATATACAGTATTTTATCCTGGCAAATCACTTTGTTGTCTATCTTTATTTAGTGCACTACCAATATCAATATTGCAAGGAGTTTTCTGTTCCATGAAAGCTTTTCAACTAAGAGAGCAATCCATGGAATCATTTAACATTTTTTTACTGTCATGCTCTATTAAAAATAATAGGTCTTGACATTTCAGCCATTCTAAAAAATTTATATTTGTCAAGATTTTGAAAGGAGCCAAATTCTCAATGGAGACATTTCTATCTTACTAAGATATTCTTCTCTGTCTATGGCAGTTAATTGGCAGGATGTTTTACAGTGTCATATTTTTCACAGTGGTCTAGTTTTCTAAGCAAAGAGATGTCAACAAAAATAAATCATGAACAGTATCTTAGTACGTAGTGGAAATGAAGAAATAGATAATATAAATTTGAGATAGTTATGATGCATATATATATATATATATAAAACAATGTTTTTCTTGGCACTCACCCTTTCAAATGTGTAGCTCAATATCGCCTGGGTGCAATCCCATGTAGATAAAATATATAAAGGATAAAGAGATGCACTCTCAGGACTTGAAAAAATAGTTAATTTATTCCAGCAGGTATAACATCAAAGTTTGCCGACGTTTCGACCCATTCGGGTCTTTCTCAAGGTCAATGTACCTGTGCTTACAAGCCATTTATATAGGACATAAAAAGAAGTACTCACCAATCTGTGAAAAAACCCCTGAATCCCTCCGTGCACACCCGGAAGTGAAACCGGAAATAGAACCCGCGATCACATGATCCATGCATAAGTGATCATGTGGTGTTGCTAAGATACCGATAGGAAAACAATTAATTATAAGATCGGTAAATATCTCATAGATGTGCAAGTGAAATGTCTAATATCAATCTATTGATGAAATCTGATTAAAGTGCAGAGTGCATAAATCCGCAAAAATGCAGCCTAATATAAAAAAGTGAGCAAAGATCATAAGATCAAATATACTGTGTAAAGTGTCACCATATATCTAAAGAAGTGATCAAAAAAATAAAGAATGTTATGTTAAAAACATTTCACCAACCATGTCAAGTTTAGAAGGCATTTAGCTGAAGCAATCTATAACATCAAAAAACTAGCAGGCTAAAAAAAGGGAAAAAAGGCCATTAAAATAAAGGCTCCAAAAAACCAATAAGGATCACAAATATACTTAGAGAAAAAGGAAACCATATGATTATTCAAAGAACATTATTATTAAAGAAACATAGAGAGCACAATATTTTCGTTGAGTCCTCTTGGTGTCACTGTGTCCAGCCGATGGATCCATTGTGCCTCACGTTGAAGTAGTTTCTTTGATCTGTCACCCCCTCTAGACATTGGGGGGACATGATCAATAGCCGTGAAGCGTAACAGAGGAAGTCTATGTTGCATATGTAGGAAATGTTTAGCGACTGGCTTATCGCTATACTGATCTCTAAAGGCTGTTGTTATGGTCGACCGATGTCCCCTTATGCGGTCTCTCAACGTCAAGTCGGTTTTACCAACGTACGAAAGTCCGCAGGGACATGTGATCATGTATATCACATGGTCAGTGGTACAAGTGATATAATGAGAAATTTTAATTCTCTGACCGCTGTGGGGATGAGCAAAGGTCGTGCCACTGACCATGTGACTACATGTCACACATCCACTGCATTTATAGCAACCTCTCTTCACAATACTCCTCGGTTTACGGTAGCAAATTTCTGGGTCACTCTTCACCAGAAGGTCCTTTAAGTTTTTATTTCTTCTGTAACTGATAACAGGGGAACTCATGAATGTATGAGGTAGTGATTTATCTGAACGTAATATATCCCAATGTCTTTGGATAGATTGTCTAATTTTCGATGTTCCAGTATGAAAAGTCATGGGAAGATAAATTTTTGGTTCTTTTGGTACCTTTATCATTCAATCTTTCTTGATTCCATATATTCAAAGCTTTAGTTTGTGCTATTTGGAGAGTTTGTGGACGATAACCTCGCATACGAAATCTATCCCACATTTCTTCCAATTGGGCTCTTCGTTTTTCGGTTTCTGTATTATATCTTAATGTCCTTAAGAATTGGGAGACCGGGAGTGATTTCTTAAGTTGTTGTGGATGAAAACTGGAGGCAGATAAGAGAGTATTACGATCCGTATTTTTACGGTATAAGGTAAATTCCAATTTGTTTTCTTTTTTATAGATGGTGACATCCAAAAATTGAATTGATTTTTCATCAATTTGATGACTCAGTATAACAGGTGTAGAAGATTGATTTATCTCATGAATCATTTGTTCCAGATCTATCCTGGTACCTGTCCAAATCATGAACAGGTCATCTACAAACCGATAATAATGTTGAATATGTTGTCCAAATTTTTCCAAAATATGATCACATTCAAAAATGTACATGAAGGCATTAGCATATGATGGTGCCATTGCCGCCCCCATGGCAGTGCCGGATACTTGCACATAGAATTGGTTTTCAAATTTAAAATAGTTGCATGTAAGTGCAATCATTAGAAATTCCAACAAGAATTCAATTGGCGGACCTTCATATATGGTAGATTTGATCAGGATCTCCCTCAAAGCCTGTACACCCTCCCTATGAGGTATGATGGTGTACAGGCTCTGGACATCCATCGTAACTAATAAGGATGTCGACTCCACATGTGGTGTTTGTAGGATTCTGGACATAAAGTCCCGTGTGTCTCGTAAGCATGTAGGCAAAGCCATAATGCTATCTTTAATAAAAGTATCAATATATTTGGCAATTGGTTCGATTATGCCATCTCTAGCCGAAACTATGGGTCTTCCTGGTGGTTGTAGTGGGTCTTTATGAATCTTGGGTAGCGTATACAGTACCGGATATCTGGGGTGCTCAACTGTGAGGTACTGAGCTGTGTGAGTATCCAAGTACTCCAATTGTAATCCCAATTCAACATGATTTTTTATTCTTTTTTGGAATTTAACCGTTGGATCAAACGTAAGCTTCGTATACACAGAGGTATCACTGAGTTGTCTCAGTATTTCTTTCCGGTATTGGTCGTATGATTGTATCACCGTTGCTCCCCCTTTATCAGCCCCACGGATTACTATATTGGGGTCTTGACTGAGGTCCTTCAATGCTGCTTTTTCTCCCGGACTTAGATTCTGATGGGACAGAGGTGGAT